CTTTTCCAGAACAGATGACACTGGCAGGTGCAACTCTGTGTTCCAAACATCACTGGCCACAATAAATGACACAGTGTTGTGTTTTTGTGCAGCAACATTCAGGTTCAAAAATTGAAAAATGTAACAACGCAGAAGTGTTGTTGCCAGATCTCAGTAAATAAACAAGCAACCAGGGCTAATGTAAAAGACACAGAAGAAGAATCTGACCACCAGCCTGTAGCCTCAGCATGATGAATAACACCATTATCTGAAAATTTAAGTTAGTGCTGAGAAATCATAATGTTACACATTTCTCATTGGATTTATGAATTCGAAATTGTTACCATATGTCCTATAGCTATATGTCATATATATATACAAATTAATTTCAGGTGAACCTTTTTGGGGCAGATGTCTGTTCTACAACAAAATACATCCAAAATTTGGGATTGCTAAAAAAAAAATATAAATAATAAGAAAAATAATAAGAAAATATATAGGAATAAGAAAAGACATATTCTTTAAGGATTCCTAATAAATTCAGAAAAGTGAAAAAATAGACTAAATCAAAATAGCGTATAAGTGGATGAGTTAGTTAAGAAGTTTAGCACATATGCTAAAGTTACTACTCTCTAAAGAATTAGATAGCAGGAAGTTTAGCACATATGCTAAAGTTACTCAGAATTAGATAGCAAGATAGCAGCCTAAGCTAACACAGTAAACTAAAGTTTCTAAAGATAAACCAAAAAAACATTAACTGGAGTAATAGTTAAATATTACTTACAAAAAAAGTCAGTCTGGATAAGATTGTTTGACAAAATATACATAAATGTGTGTTTTGTTGTGAAACATAATAGAAATGATCATAAATGTTACCCCCAGCTAAAGCTAGCAAAATGTAGCATCAAAGACAGTTGAAAGGGAGCTTAAATTATTCATAAAAAAATCAAGTTTAGTTCTAAAATTGATTAAATTTAGCCCTAAACAAAAACTATCTAACAAAATGTTCAGTCATCATTCTGTCACCATATTATTACCAAGGCAGTCACAGGCCTTTGTCTGGCTCATTGCTCTGTTTCCTCTAATAGGCCATGACATTTGGCTAACAAAGATATTAAGTTCATGAGTCCTTGAACCTTTTTATTCCTCACTACATTACAAACCTATTCTTAAACCTGATAATGACACACGTTAAAAAGGAGACTGTTGTCTAAAGGCTGCGTCAGAGTCTGCTTATCTGTTCTGAAAACTAAGACACGGTTTGTTTACATCAACAAACTGAATCAGCTGCACTGACTCAGGCAATGTGACGTGACACCTTCACACGTTAATCCCCAGCAACACTGCCTAAAACAGACGTGAACCTCAAAATTCCCTGGAAGCAGCAGCAACATATTTGGGGTTAGCTAAATGTGTCAAGCGACAGTGACACGAGACGCCTGGTATATGGTTACGGTGGTTTGAGGAACATGAACAGAGCGATTATTTTACACTGTACCTCTGCATGTGTTTGTTGTCAACAGAAGTGCACAAGCCAATCACGTTGGAATCGCCTCGAACAATAACAAACACACAGTCAGCAGCCGCATTGCACGGGTGCAGAATTGAGGAAGAAAAAAAACAAACTTGTGAGGTTTATCTCAGTCCCAG